GATCCTTCCCAGGCTGGTGTTACTTTCTCCTCTCTCCTCTCTGATGAGAACCCAGTCTCCAGCTTCATAAGAATGCACTGTAAAGTCCAAAGGTAGAATTTGAGCCAAGAGTCCTTTGTTCCTGAGGTAAGATAAAGAAGAGGACAGCCCAAGTACAGGTGAAACTCGAAAAATTAGAATATCATGCAAAAGTTCATTTATTTCAGTAATGCAACTTAAAAGGTGAACCTAATATATGAGATAGACTCATTACATGCAAAGCAAGATAGTTTAAGCTGTGATGTGTCATAATTGAGATGATTATGGCTTACAGCTCATGAAAACCCCGAATCCACAATCTCAGAAAATTAGAATATTGTGAAAAGGTTCAATATTCTAGGCTCAAAGTGTTCCACTCTAATCAGCTAATTAAGCCAGAACACCTGCAAAGGGTTCCTGAGCCTTTAAATGGTCTCTCAGTCTGGTTCAGTAGGAATCACAATCATGGGAAAGACTGCTGACCTGACAGTTGTGCAGAAAACCATAATTGACACCCTCCATAAGGAGGGAAAGCCTCAAAATTGCAAAAGAAGTTGGATGTTCCCAAAGTGCTGTATCAAAGCACATTAATAGAAAGTTATGTGGAAGGGAAAAGTGTGGAAGAAAAAGGTGCACAAGCAGCAGGGATGACCGCAGCCTGGAGAGGATTTTCAGGAAAAGGCCATTCAAAAGTGTTGGGGACTTTCACAAGGAGTGGACTGAGGCTGGAGTCAGTGCATCAAGAGCCACCACGCACAGACGGATCCTGGACATGGGCTTCAAATGTCGTATTCCTCTTGTCAAGCCGCTCCTGAACAACAAACAACATCAGAAGCGTCTTACCTGGGCTAAAGAAAAACACAACTGGTCTGTTGCTCAGTGGTCCAAAGTCCTCTTTTCTGATGAGAGCAACTTTTGCATCTCATTTGGAAGCCAAGGACCCAGAGTCTGGAGGAAGAATGGAGAGGCACACACTGCAAGATGCTTGAAGTCCAGTGTGAAGTTTCCACAGTCTGTGTTGATTTGGGGAGCCATGTCATCTGCTGGTGTTGGTCCACTGTGCTTGATTAAGTCCAGGGTCAACGCAGCCATCTACCAGGAGATTCTGGAGCACTTCATGCTTCCTTCCGCAGACGAGCTTTATGGGGATGCTGACTTCACTTTCCAGCAGGACTTGGCACCTGCCCACACTGCCAAAAGCACCAAACCCTGGTTCAATGACCATGGCATTACTGTGCTTGATTGGCCAGCAAACTAGCCTGACCTGAACCCCATAGAGAATCTATGGGGCATTGCCAAGAGAAAGATGAGAGACATGAGACCGAACAATGCAGAAGAGCTGAAGGCCGCTACTGAAGCATCCTGGTCTTCCATAACACCTCAGCAGTGCCACAGGCTGATAGCTTCCATGCCACGCCTCATTGAGGCAGTAATTGCTGCAAAAGGGGCACAAACCAAGTACTGAGTACATATGCATGCTTATACTTTTCAGAGGTCCAATATTGTTCTGTGTACAATCCTTGTTTTATTGATTGCATGTAATATTCTAATTTTCTGAGATTGTGGATTTGGGGTTTTCATGAGCTGTAAGCCATAATCATCACAATTATGACAAATCACGGCTTGAACTATCTTGCTTTGCATGTAATGAGTCTATCTCATAAATTAGTTTCACCTTTTAAGTTGCATTACTGAAATAAATGAACTTTTGCACGATATTCTAATTTTTTGAGTTTCACCTGTATATAGTTCTTTATAAACGTGTCCTTAGTTTCATATTGTGCAATCTCCCCCATTCTGCCCAAGTATGGTAATCCAAACATAATTTCATAAGGTGAAATACCAGTATCCCTTTTTGGGCAGGTTCAAATTCTGAGCAAGGCCAAGGGTAAACATTTGATCCATGGGATATATGAATTTGCGTTCCATGGAACATCCCCACTGAATTCCCACTGCCTCCATGATTGATTGAAGCACTTTTGCAGTAAAATGAGTCCCTTGGTCACTATCTACAGTTTCTATTATTCCATATCTAGGTATTTTCTGTTTCAATATAATTTTGGTGACTACTGCTGCAGTGGCCCTCAAGGCTGGATAAGCTTCAACCCATCTAGCCAAGTGATCCACCATCACCAATAAATATTTAAGTCTCCCCACTTGAGGTAATTCAGTCACATATTTGTTATGTTACCAATAGGAAACAGACAGCAACACAAACAAAAATTCTTACTTTAAGATCAGAGGTTTATTGTTTCTAATAATTTGGAACATAAGAAATGAATAGATATAAAAGATATAATAGCAGTAATACACTTACATTAATAAGCCACTGCAATGGGGTCCAATGACATACAGCAGGTCCTACAAGGACTACCATAACTCAAAGGCCCCCGAGTGATCTCCAACCCTATCCTTTATACTTTTCTTCTAACCCAGTGGTTCCCAACCTTTTTTTCGCCCCGCACCCCTAAAGAAATTTCACTCGAACCTCGCACCCCCTGAAATTTATATTTTGCTCAAGGATAAATTATGCGAATTCCGAATAATATTTTATCAAAAAAAGATTGTTACTTTATTCTTTAATATAATTACCTGGACTTTTCTCGCACCTCCTGGAATATCGTCTCGCACCCCCAGGGGGTGCGAGCACCCCAGGTTGGAAACCCCTATAACTAACCGCATACACGCTTCACAACTTTACTAACTGTCACTTTCCTTAAACACCTGTGTACATTACTTTCAGTTCCTCATTTCCAACAGTTTCATTCTTCCTGTTTTAAACTTATCCATCCAAGTGCATACTTTGCAAAAATATGTTTTCACAGTTAGCAACATCTCAGCAGGATTACAAATAGTTCTGGTATATTTTGAAACCATCCTAGCTAAAAACTTTGGTTCATGTCTCTTTCTTCTGGGGCCTACTATTATCCATAGGACTTATTGAATCTAATAGATCAATAAGCTATATCTTTGATTCTCACAGTGTCAAACTCAATTTCATTGAGGACTGCATCAGGGTTGTGGTGGAACTTGGGGGGCTGGGCAGGGTGGGGCCATGGTGGGTGGGGCCATGGTGGGTGGGGCCATGGTGGGTGGGGCCATGGTGGGAGTGGCCAATTCATCATTACTCATCGGGGGACACCTGTGGTGCTCTGGGCGGGGGAGGGGGGGCTTTCCTTCCTTCCTTTTCCCTTTTCTTTTTTTCCTTCCCTTTTCCCTCTCCTTTCTTTCTTCTTCCTTCCCCTTTCCTTCCTTTTTCCTTCCTTGCTCTCTTCCCCTCTTCCCTTCTTTTTCTTCTTCTTTCCTCTTTCCCTTTCTTGTCCCTTTTTGGATGCTCAAATGCATTTCTCGATGCCTCCTCACCTTGTGAACAAACGCCACTTTTGCTAGTAGTTTGTGACCACTTAAAAGACTGAAAACAAACCAGGCTCAGTTTATTCCATGCTTGCATTTAGTGGGGGCATCCACAGACAACAGTACAGCAAAACAGTCAAAATGGTGGCTGCGATAGTTGATCAGAGCTCCTCTGTTTTTTTATGTGCAACAGCTTTAGCATTTAGGAACAGAGGTAAGTTAGTTGCTTTTCTATTAATACATAACCCTTAAATCCTGTAGGGACCCTGCATGGTCTAATTCAGAGGTCCCAAACCTTTTTGGCACCAGGGACTGGTTTCATGGAAGACAATGTGTGTGTGTGGGGGGGGGGGGGCACGCACATGGTAAAATAAGTGTGGGATTGTTACTTAAGGCCTGCCACCAGATGTTTTTGCTCCAGTCCAGGGTAAAATCAGAATAAACACACAAAGACTTCACTAGAAAGGACTTTCTTTTGCTCCAGGAAAAAATCAGACATGGAAGAGCCTTCACAAGGCTTTTTTGTTCTGCTCTGGAAGAAAATTAGAAGACACAAAGAAATCTTCACTGGAAGAAGCTCTCTGCTTTTGCTCCAGAGGAAACCCCCAATGAAAGACCCAGGGAAGCAGAAAGAGGGTGAATGACCACCACCTGCACTTTTCAATGGTTCAGCACAGCTATACTCTTCCAGATTAGACCTGTGACTTTCTGCTTCTAAGAAAGTGGAAAGGAAGGTGTAGGAAGTTAGCACCCACACTTCTCCTAGAAAATTGAAACATCCTAGGAAATATTAAAAAGGCAGAATATTTCCTCTAAAAAGAGTAGAAACTCAGAAGCAGAAACTCACCTCAGAAGTAGAAGCTCGCCCCCACCTTTGTTAATGGGTGGGCCATTAAGGCCTGGGCCAGAATACTTTACATAACATACTATACTATACATACTATAGCAATTGCCCAAAGCCCTTTCAGTGCATCATCCAGCAAGGTTCAACCAAGCCTGGAACTCAGAACAGCCTACAGAGTTGCCCCTGCAAGGCCCCATGGGAGTCTGACAACCAATCAGAATACAAGCTCCAATTCAAATCTCAACAAAGGTTACTCTCAGCATAATAGTTCTTTTCTTGATCTCTTCCTTCACCTTGAGGCATGTGATCATCCTTCCTTTTCACTCTGGAGCTCCAGGCCATGTGGTCCTGTCCACCATTAAACCTTCCAAACAGCCTCCATGTTTCCAGTGTCTTTTTCTCCACTTGGAACTGAACCCAGAAGGATATTTCTTCCAACAATTGGCAACCTAGATGGGACTCCAAGCTAACCTAACCAATGGACCAGGCCCTGGTAAGATTCCCTTGCCAGCAAACAGACCCATTGATTCTGTGGGTGAGTTTTCCTGGACCTTGGCCATTTGGAAAAAAGGTTTTAAAGGGGTTTTGAGTGTTGACCTCAAAGGCTGCTTGGAAGGAAGGTGAGTACCTCTAAATTCTAAATTTAAAGCATGGGAAATATGTGTATGCTTGCATGTGTGTGAGAGGGCCCTTCTCCCAAACACAATTGGATCTTGCTTCCTCTGTGCATTTCCTAACTGCAGAAAGACCAAGAGTCTGGAGAGCATGGGGGTTTTGCCAGAGCACAGGACCCTTTTGTTAGGGAAGGAGGAAGAGCATGTGTGTGAGTGGCTTCACCCTTGGACAGCAGCTGGATCTCATTTCTTTGTTTGGCCTCTAGCCGCCCTCTTGCGTGTTGCTAGCTCTACAGAGCCATGATCATCAGGACAGGAAAAGCAAGGGAGGGGGTCATCGGAGTGTGGAACCTTCTGTATATAAGAGGGAAAGCTGAGCAGGTTATGATTGAAGGGAGGGAAGAATTTTTTTTTTTTTGTCCAGTGTATCCCAAAAGCAAACCACAGGATTTTAGGTAATTGTGTAATTAGGAAGTTGAAATTAGGAGTGCCAGTACTTGCCTGCATAAGAGCAGCAATTTTCCCGGATTTGAGCTCTTCCAAATCCGCTAAACGTGGGCCTGAAGTTAAAGAGGCGGAGTACCAGTACTTATCTGCGGGTGGGTAGAAAGTCTCACGGACTGTCTTTTTTGGGGAGAGGGAAGAAGTCTGCACAGGCAGCTTACCCCCAGTCCGAAAACCATGGCGAAAAGAGAGAGAGGGTTTTTTGGTTTTTTTAAGGGGAGTGTGCATACTTTGTGGAAGGAACCAAAGTCTCCCCCAGACACCTTTTTTTTTCTTGCTCTTGAATTTCTTGTGTCTGAAAACTGGGTGGCTGACTGGCCTGACTAAGCCAAAGTGTGAAGGCTTGGGATGAGCGGCAGATGCCAACCCTAGCCGGCATGAGCAAGAAAAAGGCAAAATATATATGTAGAGAATGGGCTTTGCTGAGGGATACAGGAAGACCAATTTGGCTAAATAAAGGTACTTAAAAGGGCAATATATAAAACAGGATCACATGGGATTTTTTAAAAAAATCTTTCTTTCTGTGTCTCTCTGTCTTCTATGCAACCACATGGTTTGTTCCTTAAGATTTGTGCCTTCCCCAATTAAATTGAGATATTTATTGTGGGAATGATCAGTGTGTGTGTAAACCTCAGAATTTTGTTTTCCTCTCTGTGTCCTTGTTTGTGTGTGTGTGCGTGTCTAAGTCTTTGTGTGTCCTCGAGGTAACTGTTGCAACTGTTAAGTGTCTCTGATCCCTTCAGATATGAATTTTAAATTGTTAAGAATTAAAAACACTAAGAGAAAATGTCTTCTCCCAGTCTGGTCTGGCCAACTAGACTGGATGAGGAACAGAGTTCAATTTTCTCTCCTCTCTGTGCTTTTAAGAAAAACCCAAGGTTATTAACGAATGTTTTAAGTTCATTTACAAGAAAAGTTTCATCCTTGCATTTACTGTGTGTTTAAATGATTTTACCTGTTCATCCTTTTCCTGAAGCATGTGAATCCAGTTTTTTTCCTTTCTCATCTGTTGTGTCTCCATTTTGTTGAAATTGATTTACCTGTTTAGTAACTGCAATACTGATGTGTTATTTTTCTTCCTCCTCAAACCATGCCTGCAAGCTATTTACACACACACCCCATCTGTAATCCTTTACAATGCCTTTCCTGGTAGAATTACCAGCGAAGGGGGGAGGAGACCCTTGTTCTTTGTCTTTCAGCCCTACCACATGTGGAAACAGATGCTGCCCCCTAGAGACATTCCATCCATTGGAGCCAGTAATTGGGTTTGGATCCAGCCTCCACTGAAAGTCATTACAGCAAACCAGAGTGGGGCAGACCTTCCCAAGCTTGACTGACCATCCATACCACCAGGCCAAGCCTATGTCACCCAGAGACATGAAGGAAAGGACTCTGAGATGGATCAGTAAAAGACTAAAAGACTTTTCAATCCCCAGAAGATAGTTAGAAAGATTATGGGGGGAGGGTGGAAATTCATTGTAATGTGAAATTCATTGTAATGTTTTTTTTTTTTCTTGTATCATTTATATTGTAATCAGTTTGTACTCATGTAAGGATTGTATTTGAGAGTGGCTGGCCCAGCAAGTTCTGAACACCTTGGACTTCTGTCTGGTGGGAGGGAAAATTGTCCAGCATGTCTGTATTATCTGTATTGTAAAACTGGCTGCATACACGGGCACATACACAGAGACACACCATTCAGAATTAGATAGAGGTTATCCTTTTCACTTACCTCCACACAAAGCTGCTCCTAGCTTCTTCTCTTTTGCTGCTCCTAGCTTCCATTTTTTTTGTGTTTTTTTGTTTCTTGTTTGCTGCTCTGAGGCATTAAGGCCCAAGCAAAACTCCCTGCTAATCCCAAGGGGGAGGGGGCATCCCCCTCAGGCAAGTCCTGAAGAGATAGCAGAAAAGAGATCTCCAAACCCCAAGTCCTGACTGTGACTCACAAATGATGCTGCCCAGTTTATTTTTTTTTATTTTTTTTATTTATTTGATTTGTCAATCGCTTACAAGATAATAGGTATAAGTATAAACATAGTTATGAATACATGAAATGGATACATATAACAAAAATAAAAGAAACAATAGGACAGGGACGGTAGGCACGTTGGTGCACTTATGCACGCCCCCTACAGACCTTTTAGAAAAGGGGTGAGGTCAATAGTAGACAGTCTAAGGTTGGGGGTTTGGGGAAGAAACCACAGAGTCAGATAGAGTATTCCAGACATTGACCACTCTGTTGCTGAAGTCGTATTTCCTGCAATCAAGTTTGGTGCGGTTTACCTTGAGTTTGTATCTATTGTGTGCTCTTGTATTGTTATGGTTGAAGCTGAAGCATTCATTGACAGGTAGGACATTGCAATATATAATTTTATGTACTATACTTAGATCGGACTGAAGGCGGCATAGTTCTAGGTTTTCTAGGTATAGAATTTCAAGTCTGGTGGCATATTCTGCAACGAGTAGAGGAGTGGAGAATTCTTGTGAAATATTTCTGGACTTTCTCAACTGTGTTAATATCAGATACGTAATGTGGGTTCCAGACTGATGAGCTGTATTCGAGTATTGGTCTAGCAAATGTTTTGTATGCTCTAGTTAGTAGTGTGATATTACCAGAGAAAAAGCTACATAGGATTAGGTTAACAACTCTTAATGCCTTTTCGGCTATGTAGTTACAGTGGGCTCTAGCACTTAGATCATTTGAGATGAGTACTCCAAGGTCCTTGACAGAGTTTGGATCATCAACAAGGTCTTGACTATTCAGCTTGTATTTTATTTTCTGATTTTTTTGCCTATATGTAGGACAGAACATTTATTTGTTGAGATTTGAAGTTGCCATTTGTTTGACCATTCTGATACATAGTTGAGGTCTTTTTGAAGGGTAGCAGTATTTTCTGTGGTGTTGAATAGCTTTACATAATCGGTGAAGAGAACGCAGTTGCTCTTAATATGATCACAGAGGTCATTTATGTAGAGTATGAAGAGAGTTGGTCCTAGAACACTGCCTTGGGGGACACCACTGTTGACAGGTACAGAATTTGATAGGACGCTCCCAATTTTGACCATTTGTTGTCTGTTTGACAGGAATGCTTCTATCCAGTTATGCAGGTGTCCAGAGATACCA